AATTACTATCTCTTACCCAAATTTGTCACAAACCTTCACAATATTGAAGTAGGACGGACTTCAGTGTCAGGAAATGAAGAAATTCTAGTGTAATCAAATATGAGTAAAGTTTTTTCCTTATGATAAAAGCACTGTTGACTGATTTGAGAAATCTCTGCAATCCATTATAAAAAAAGCTGCTTGTAATTCAGCAATGCTGTGACTGCCATAGGGGATAATTGGTGACTGTCCTTTCTGAACCCCCACCCCTCAATTCCACCGCATAGCTCTGATAATCTGCGAACTGAACTAATTTTTCTTGCGACATTAAATCTCTGAATTGCCACAGAACTAATGCTATGGATACACCATTTTTCTTATTTTGTTTTCTGTCATCCTTCTTTCTGAATTGCCAGAATTCCTACTTCATGGAAGAAAATGACATTTAAGATACCATTAGTGAAATGATGCGTGGCTGTACTGTAAGCCTGCCATTCGTCTTGTCAGATGAGTAGTGTAGGGAAGGTGCAGATCTCTTGGCAGAGACAACTGAGCAGCACAGATCACGGAGACCAGTCATGACATAGGTAAGCACAGCCGTGGTTGAACCGAGGGAACCACGGGGTGCTTAGAAACCCTGCTTAATCTTAAGAAGCAATACATGCACAACAATTCATGACAGTTCATGGTCTGACTTTAGGCACTGAAGAAAATGACGAGAAGAGACGATATTGGTAGCAAGCTGCCAACTCATTAGAGGCAGATTTCAATATAATTTAGGTTGGAGGCAGGACAGTTTGTTCGTCAGGTCCTTTGGTACTTCTGGGGAAGTCAGTGGCGAGGAAAGCGATGGGCCTTAAGCTTCTACGGTTTCTCTTGTAACCTCTTTCCACTTCCCCTTCCCCTTCGGCCTAACCTGCTGGGAGAATGGGACTGCTTTGGGCTACGGGTTTTTGTGTTCCCGAGACAGCCCCCCTACGTATGTTACTGCCGTAGTCCAGTTTCAGAGGGGATAGAACAAACCTTATTATTGAAAATGTATGTAAAGAGACATTTTAAAATTTCCATCCAAATTCGGATTTTTTTATTATTATTATTGATTTTCAGAGAGAGAGAAAGGCATCCAGATGGAGAGAGAGGTAGATTGGTTCCACTTATTTATGCATCATTGGTTGTTTCTTGTATGTGCCCCGACCTGGGATCAAACCTGCAACCTTGGCATATCCGGACGACGTTCTGACCAACTGAGCTACCGGGCCAGGGCTCTGGTTAGTTTTTAAAGCACAACTGAGTCAGGGTGACAAAACGTTGTGGAAAGCTGGGAGCTCTTTCCCGAAAGGGGACACTACTGTCACGACTTACCAACCATGTGCCTGGTGGTGCTCCTGTGCACTGGCAGGTTCTCCCCTCAGCCCTCCCTTCCCGCTGGAGGGCGTCCCCACCACCCTGCCTCTGGCACCACAGCTTCACGCAGGCTTCCCTCTAGACGCTGGGTGCCTCCCCTCCCTCGGCCCCAATCCCTCAGGCTGGGCCACACGTCTCTCCGTGATGGCCTCATGGTACCCTGACTCTTCCTCAGTTGTGCTATTGAATTACCCTGGAATTTCCCACGGTCCCTGTACAGGACACATATGATCAAGGCAAAAGCTGAAACACTTCCTCTGGAAGGAACCTGGCTGGCGCTCTCTTCCCCAAGGATGGTATTGTGCACTGTATGCACGTAGACCCTTTTAATACTGATCTTCATCATGTTCTGTGCTATACACACAATGCCCACCTTACCACAGCCTCTTAAACCTCAACTTCATGTGTGCAAAAATCTCGACGTTATCTAAAACTTCCTCCAGTGACTCTAGGAGTTCCGAGATCCTCTTACATGCAACCAGGACCATGAAAACTTGTATTTTTGTTGTTTTTGCTATTGTCTCTTCATCTAGGTGATAGCAAGCACCCTGCTGTAGGTACTTTCTGCAAATGCTGGGCATCTGGCATCTTCCCAGGGCCTGGTACTTTCAGCTTCCTCCCTTCACGCATCAGGCTCAAAGCCAGCGCTCAGGGTGGGGCAGTAGTGGGATAGGAGCAATGGGGGCCACCCCTTCTCTCCAGTTATCCTTCTCTTCCATGGTCTCCTTCCTGGTCCCAGCACAAAATCTTTCTCTATTTTAGTCACCCCCCCCCAAAACAAACCAAACAAATAAACCAGAACCCTTAGCCCTATCAGTTCACGTAACTGTGTTCCCATCATTATCACCAGGTAAACTGCTCACCAAATAGTGAGATCCAGGCAGAAAATGATTGAAATTGAAAGCCTCACTATGTACTTACACAAAGATAAATACAATTTTCCAAAATTAGGTAAAAAATGTATCTCAAACACTCTTCATGAAAAATATTTTCAAACAAATATGTAAGTAAACCAACCTAAAAAAATATATGGAGGCAAGGAGTTCTGGAGCCTTTTATTTAAATACTGGAGGAATTCATCCCTCTTATGGTTGGTGAGGACAGAGATTAGCAGCGTGCTCAAGGTCAGACCAAAGGTTATTAGCAGAGGATGAGAGGAGGTTGCGGTTTTGCTGACTCCACTGCAAAGCTGGATTCCCCAGCTCCTGATCCTCATTGCCTGCTGTTCTCTTAAGTACTATAATGACTTTAAACCCCTTGAGGAGGGAGAAGGGAAGACACATCTAATTTCTAGGCCGATCTTTAAATTCATTTTTCTAAGTTACACATAAATAATATTTACCAATTATACTGGAGATACATGAAGAATCTTAGATGACAGCTTGCAAACATTTAAGTAGGTGATTTGGGCCAGACTTATTATAGCTAATTTATAATGACAAACATGCTGTTTTCATCTCTATAATACTGATCACATTTATTTAGTGTGTTTAGTTTGTCTTCAAGGCTGCGGGTGTTTTCTGTGTCAAAAGACACTAAAAATTTTATTGATTTAAAACAGTAGAAAATGCCTATAATATGCTACAATGGAAAAACAAGCCCAGAAACAGATAAACTCTTTCACAAGAAGCTTGTGTCACTCGGACTCTCAGTGACTGGCTGAAAATGGCTCTGAAATTCCCTCCTGAAGTTTTTGTTTTAGAACCACGAATGGGGGCAGTACTCAGATTGCACCAGTTTTAGCAGCCCATAACAATGCTGCCAGTCATTTGAAAACATGTTTAGTGCAGTTTCTCAAAGTAGGATTAGTGGTGTGTTAGATAATTTTCCTGCATTCTACAATCTGTAATGGAAACATTTTACACAATCTTTTTTTTTTTTTTTTAAATATATCTTTATTGATTTCAGAGAGAGGAAGGGAGAGAGATATAGAAACATCAATGATGAGAGAGTCATTGATTGCCTCCTGCATGCTCCAACTGGGCACGGAGCCTGCAACCTGGGCATGTGCCCTGACTGGTAATGGAACATCGATCCCCTGGATCCTAGGTCGATGCTCAACCGCTGAGCCACGCCCAGCTGGGGCTACACAATCTTAATATGGCTATTATTTAAGGATTTATGTGATACATTTCTTCTAGAATTTAATGTCAGAAAACATTTTCCTCTGGATGAACTCGCTTGGGTCCATCCAACAATTTGAACTTTATAAATTTTTCCTATTTCCCCTCTTTTCCTTGACTGTCAGGACACGCAGAACTAATTTTCTCATTGGATGGCTTCTAATTTGTGTCTCTTATTTTTTAATTGTTCAATAATAACTGCTAATTTTAAAGATTCATAAAATTTAGCAATGTGTGAAAAATACAAATATTATCCCTAGTTCTACCATCCACAGAACACTGCCATCAATATTGGGCTGTACATACTTTTAGACTTTTCCCATAGTATAATAAATACAGGGGTGGGCAAAAGCAGGTTTACAGTTGTATGTGAAATACTGAGTTTATCCTTGTTTTATTATTTACTTATTAATTATTGTATTATTTATCATTATTATTAACCTACTTTTGCCCACCCCCTGTATGTACAAGTCGAACATCAGTATCCATGGGGGGATTGGTTCCAGGAACACCATGGATACGAAAATCCATGGGTGTTCAAGTCCCATATATAAAATGTCATAGTATTTGCATATAACCTATGTGAATCCTCCCTTATACTTTAAATTACTTGGAGATGACTATACCTGATCCAATGTAAATGCTGTGTAAATAGTTGTTATACTGTATTGTTTAGGGGATAATGACAAGGAAAAAAGTCTGAACATATTTAGTTCAGATGCAACCATTGTAGGCCTAACTACATAGTACACAAAACATACATAGTTAGCAAAAATGTAACAGTTTTTCCTGAATGTTTTCCATTCAGTTGGTTGAATCTATAGATGTGAAATCTGTGCATACAGAGGGCCAACTGAACGCATGGGCAATGGCATAGCATATGTATTTTGCAAACTGCTTTTTCACTTAGTAATAGGTCATGATCATTTTTCTGTGCCAATAAATACAGATCTACAAAGCCATTTTTAATGGTTGCATTGCTTTCCACTGCATGAGTGTATATATCATAATTTATTTACCTAGTTATTAGTGTGTGTTTAAAATATGTCTTTATTGATTTCAGAGAGAGGAAGGGAGAGAGAGAGAGAAACATCAGTGACGAGAGAATCATTGATCGGCTGCTTCCTGCAAGCCCCCTGCTGGGGATCCAGCCCGCAACCCGGCAGGTGCCCTGACCGGGAATCGAACCTCAGTCTCCAGGGTCATAGGTTGATGCTCAACCACTGAGCCATGCCGGTTGGGCGTTTAGGTTGTTTTTATATTTAAATTAGCCACATCGTTCTTTAACTTTCATATATGTCTTTTTGTTGCAAGCCCCTAAACATTATGTTTCAAAATAGGCAGGTGTAATGAATGACCAAGTGATGAATGAACCCCCTGGAAGGGCCTGGATGCCTGCAGCGCCACGAGCGGCGCCGGCGTTACCACGCGTTCTTTACGGCGCTGTTGTCCTGGAGACGAATAATTTTCTCCCTTATCTAGGTCTTGGCCAAAATGAGTGAAACTCCTTCCTCCGGTTTTTCCGTGATTCATCCGGCTTCTTCGGAAGGGCAGGCTCCCTCCTCGCGCCGCATGAGCGTCCCTCAACCCGTCGTGGCGAAAAGGGTCAGCTTCTACAAGAGCGGGGACCCGCAATTCCGCGGCGTCAGCGTGGTGGTGAGCCCGCGCTCCTTTAAGACCTTCGACGCTCTGCTGGACAGCTTGTCCAGAAAGGTGCCCCTGCCCTTCGGGGTGAGGAACATCAGCACCCCGCGCGGCAGGCACAGCATCACGCGCCTGGAGCAGCTGGAGGACGGCGAATCCTACCTGTGCTCCCACGACGGGAGGGCGCGGCC